GTCTCCTGTAGGCATCCGTACTTTTTCTAGGGTCCCTTCTCTACAGCTGCTGCAGAGGAGATTGAGTGGGTCCAGGGCTGGTGTGGTTTGACAAGCCCTGGACGCATTGCAACCACACTGGATACCATATCACTGTTTGCACTGCCTTCTACTGGTGTCACCTCCAAGAGCAGATGGAGGTTGACGGGGGATGTAGAGGGCTCATGTGGCCTCTGCGCAAGGGCTTATTTTACACAGTGGGCATTCAAATGCATAGAGCCATGGGATCATTCCAGTGGCTTCAGCAGTGCTGTATCTCTTTACATACACCATGGGTCAGTTTGGTCTATTGCCATTATTGCCATTCTCTCTGTAGAGCAGCAGAAGGAGATCTAACAGGAAGAATATCTATCGTTTTGCTGTCCTTGTTTATCAGCAGGTTCATCGATAGATAGCATGGTGATAGGCACAGTAGCAATCCAAGGCTAGGAACAGACATTGCATTTATCCTTGGATAAGCTGTGCCTGTGTTTTTTCTGGAACAGAAATGTTCCTAGCTTGGTGTGTACACACATCACCCTTCTTATCAGGGTTTAGTGAGCTGATGAAGGCACTTCCGCTTTTCTACCATTGATTCAAAGAGGCAATCTCAAAATAACTGTAAAGATGTATTTTCCTAAAACATTTCCTGGATAAGAGTAACAGTTTATCCCAGGATATTGCATTTATCCTGGGACAACAGACAATTGCACTTTGTCTCAGCATAAAATGCTTTATCCTGAGATAAATGGGATGTCTGCTTGCACCCCAAGAAACTCAAAGTTTAATGATGCAAAGACTTTGGCCTGGCTCTCAGAGGGGATCTCCCCCATGGCGAGCTGTCTTGCTCTCTCAGGAAAGAGAGGCCTTTTCAGAGCTCCCACCAAAAACTCCCTGCTCCAAGATCCACTTCTTAGAGGCTTCTTGATGTCGCCTTTGCGCAATTATATGGATGTGCCTAATGATATACCTATAACTGGCTGTATGTCTTAACTGGCAGAAATCTTTTACCACAGTTGTCGATGCTGGTGTTTTTAATGGTTGGCCTTTGCCGCTAGGGAACAGCTAACTGCCTTGTCATGTGCCAGCTCCCAAGTGCTTGATGCTTCAGGAACGAAAGAATGTGGTAAAAATGTGGGCGTAAAGGAAGGCTGAGTAAAGGAGAGCTAAAGCCCATAAAATGACTCACAGTAGCATTTCTCCCACTGATGAGCCAGTTAACCATGCTTTCACCCTTGCTACTGCGGCTGCTCATAAAAACTTCAGTGACTTCTTCTCGGCAATAAAGAGCCCTTCTTGTCCCTATATGCATTATTCACAATTTACTAAACGCCCAATGAATTTACATCCTCTTTAGTAGGCATTTCCCACAAACAAGCAAGCAAGTCATTACATTTAGACACCAGATGCCTGCTGCATTGACTGTAGAGTACAGTTTTATTCATTCCAGGCTTTGGAGATGACTAGACCAGATTGCATAGGCATGCTGCTATAGGTCCCATTTTACTGAAGCTAATGGTTCAGCCTGTGCTGCACCTTATCTTTTATGATCTCAGAAGCTACACATGCAGTCCTAGACCTGGCTAGTACTGGGATGGGAGAGCACATGGGTATCTAGTGTCCTGTAGTCAGAAGTCAAAGAGCTGTGTTTAAACCCAGCAAATATTAGACTTCGCAAATTAAATTAAAGACTATATTCAGCCCTATCATCTCTGCTCTGGCAACAGATGGGGCTCAAAAGGAAGAAGGTTATAGTTGTGTTAATGTAGCAACTTTCATCCTTAAATGTAAGTGGACAGGGGAGAACCAGCTTGCTGCTGAACCATGTCTGGGGTATAGATGGGCAGCCAGGAGACTGTTCATTTTTCACATTCTGTTGTTTCCTCTCTCCCCTCTCTTGTACAGAGGGCCAGGTGGGTAAAGACTCCAGAGCATGAGACATAGGGCATGAATCAGCCTTTGACAAATTTAAAAAGCAGACAAAGCGGTCAAAGCAAAATAACTGATTTCTAAGTGAGGAACAAGTCAACATGGCAGATCCTTCCAAAAAGAAGATGTCATGCAAGCCCTTCACCATGTGTTTGAACAACTTTTTTTGTTGCCAGGACACCCCCCATCTCTCACCTGGAAACACAGGGAACTGACTGGCGCACCCACGCAAGTTGATAGCAGATCCTGATCCACATTAAGTTCTCTTTGCCTTCAATGAAATGCTACTCTTCCAAAAAGCACCTTCTTGGCTTCCTTCTGTGTCCAGCAATGCCCACAGTCAGTCTGGGGCCCTCAGCTGAATCCTGCTCTCAGATGTCTAGGCCCCAGTAGTGGTCTGGAGAACAAAGGCAGTCATTTATTCATTAAGTCTGAAGAGTGTTTTGTCCATGTGATGCTCAGTGAAAGGAGCCTGTGGGTTCAGAGCTACAGGCTGCCCAACCTGTGGGTTCATTGCCAGTCACCAGCCAGAGCTGCCCACAGTTTTGCATAGTGAATCCAGGCTGTCTTAATGCCCCTCCAGCACAGCTGCTGGAGCCTTGGCCGCTTGATATTGTGAGCTCTTGTGCTGGACTAGTTTCTGTCCCAACCAGGGATCTGACCCAACACTGCAGGTGCCAGCTCCTCTTCCATCTGCTAGTCATCTAAGTGGCAATTGTGCACCTAAGTCTTTAAGTACTTTCCTATTGCACCCTGTTGGAGTCCCTGTTGCCATGTGCCTTCCTCTTAGCTTTAAAACTCAGTCACAAAAAAGACTCAGCCACCTTTTCCACTAATGCTTTTTCAGAGATTGGAGCAGGCTGCAGTATGATTGCACTTTGACACCTCTGAGGTGGAGTAAGATTTGGCCCTAGCTCCAGCGCACCTAACCATTGAAGGGCTTTGAAATCCTTTGAAGGGATTCAGGTTTTGCAAATGGCTCCCTTCCTGAACAACTATAAGGTCTGCCCTGCACTGAGCTCAGCAGAGCATCTTTAGCCTGAATGGACTTTCTTCCCTGGAAAACAATGGATCTTAGATATTAAGATTGGGAGGAACCATCATGATCATTGTCTGCCCTCTGCATAACACAGGCCAGAGAATCCCCCCCACTTGTTCCTACCCAGTGACTTGTGGTTAAACTAGCATGCATCTTCTTGAGAGACAGGCAAGACTGGATTTACAGACTCCCACGTAGAGGATTTCTTATGTTCTCTTAGCACTCTGTTTAATTACTTTCAGTAGAGAGTATCTATTTCCTCCAAGCTGAATCAAGGGAGGAGTTCATTAGTTATCCTCTCTGTGATGCACACAGGGAGCCTCTACATGAGATGCTACGACGCAGTAGCAACAAGCTACTGCACCATAGCTCATTGCTACCGTGCAGCAGCATTGCCGGGCACTAACCGGGTGGCGACAATACTGCACAGTAGTTACGAGCTACTGCATAGTAGCATTGGGAAAAAACCGGGCAGTGATGGTACTGTGCAGTAATGCTGGTTACTGCATAGTTATTTAGTACTTGCTTATGCAAGTACTAAATAACTGTGAAATAACAACTGCGCAGTTTGCACAGTTAACTCTACAGAGGGTTAGGGAAGGGTGCAAGATGTCAGGCTGCAAAATCAGCTTTTCTTCCCAGCTTTCACCCATCATAGGGCCCTGGGGTCGTGTTATTAGCCACAAGGAAGTGCACAGGTTTTCAGTCTTTATGGAGTTTTGTCCTGGTGCAGAGAAGTAGCCTTCCAATCAAATGGGGTCTCACAGGCATTTAACTGACTGGGGTTTTCCAGGGTGATTAGGTGATCGTCATAGCCCACTGGGAAGAGACCGGAAAGACGATGTTGCTAACACCACTTGGATGCTTAGATATAAGATGACTACCTTCTCTAAGCCTTGAGAAAGCAATGCAAAGTATGAAGCTGCATTCAGAACAGCAAGAGGGTGGGGATAGTTCCCTGCTTATGGTGAGATCCATTTCTCTCTCTGGATGCTAACAACCCATACCTGGGCAGGGGTGTATAAACAGCACCAAAGAACTGTATTAATGCTTATTTGGAACACACCAGATTGCATTAAAAGATAAGTATTAGATATGAGGGAAGGAGACTGGTCACCCAGCACTACCCAGAACTAAGGCCTCATTTCCTGTGAATGCCTGCATGCCCCTTCCTGCCATGCAACCGTGGAAGAAAGCCCCTTCCCACCACTGGGCTTAGTCAGCGCCTAAAGAGTTTTTTAAAGGAGAGCGCTAGACTAAGCCCAAATGCTGCTATTTGCTTTTGGTCTAAACACCTGGGTTGCTGGAGCAAAGCAGCTGGGGCTGTAAATCTGGAGAAGGAGTGAGATGGAGTCCCGGCACTGCCCCAGAATACCACATTCACTTCAAGGAAGGAAGGAAGGTAGGGAAGGGAAGAAAGAAAAGCAAAGCAATCTCCCAGCCCTGTCGCGATCCGAAGGCCTGGTCTCAGCTAGAGCACGAGGGCTCCACCCCCTTCCTTTCAGTTTTGCAAACAATTTCCTAATCAGACCTTTCTGTCTGGAATGTATTAGTGATTCACAGACCAAGAGGAAATGGTGATTTTGGGGTCCTGGTCTAATGGAAGGGGTGGAGTCGGCATCAGTACTCTCCTTTTGTAGCTGAGCGGCAGATAAACCACAGAGGAAGTGTCTAAAGGACACCAGCCCTGTTCTCTTGGCAGGCAGAGTCTCCTTGAATCAAGATAAAGCTCTTTTTTTTGAGACTTATGAAAGTGAAGAGAGTTTGGGGAGTGAGATGAAGGAATCGCTTCTCTCTGGGGGAAAAAAAAAACATCAAAAAGGCTGCTGTTTTTATGAATGGGTCATAGGCTTTTCATCCACAGAGGAGAGTATGAGACTGGATGGGTTTTTTCCCAGATAACCTGAGTGACAGATGGATCCTAGCAAACCCATTCAGGTGGCTTTTGGGGCACACCCCACTGTACAGTGTGTGCTAAATCCAGCTCTTGGAAATCCTTATAATCCTACAAACATGATACCAACACAGTTACCTTGTGTGTGGTCCTGTCTTTCTTCTTGCATAGTGTCGCATTTACATTTTCTAACTACTTTACTTCAGCTCCTGTAGACTGCCTGACTAACTGCTTGTCTTAGACGGCATCAGTATATGCCAACTCTGCACATGTGTAGCTACAATGTGTGGGGTCTTATATTGTGTTCCAACTATACCAAGCCATGTAATAACTACAATTTTAACATTTTCTGAATAAGGTTTTATACCTGCACCGGGCGCCAATGTGAATGAATTTGTCCTAGACGTGTCCTTAGGAACAGGGAGCTCCTGGCACGATGGGGGAAGATGGCAGGACATACAAAGTGACTGGTTGCATGGGGAGTGAGTGTTACAGCTGGGAACTGAATCCAGATCTCCTGAGCAACAGTCCAGTGTCTTAACCACAGGATCATCATCTCTGGGCAGACCAGGGATCAAGGTGCTCCTTAGATCCCATCTTCTCCGAGTGCTACAGGCCTGTAGTGTCCAGCACCGGGTGCCGAGGAAGCAGTGTATTTAGCATCCGTAGTCTGCATACCAAGATCCTGAGCTGGGGGAATGGCTGGGTGTGGCGTGGCATGGGCCCGTCTGAGTCTACATGCCATGCAGAGGAGTGTAGGTGCTCATTGCACAACTGACTCTCTGTGACCCTCCTTCCTTCAACCAAGGTGAGGCAAGGCTGAGGTTTTCCAAGAGGTTCCCCATAGACCCCACTCAGTGCCTATGTGTGACGTGGTCTGCGCTGGTACTGGAACAGGGCTCCGACTAAGGGCTCAGGGTCCACTTTGTGGTCACCGGTACGGCTGTGCATCACAGGGTGACACCCGGCCCCGTGTCTGCAATGACTAGGTCTGTTCTGGCCTTCAGCTCTGCTCTGACATTTGGATAGCCAGCCTCCCACCTTAGCTCCAGCGATGACCCTCAGGCCATGGGGGGCCTTGTCAGGAGACTGGAGAGCGGTGACTCATTCACAAGTACTCACCTGCTAGTGAGCCTGGATCTGCGGGAACTGCTTCCGCACACTGCCCTTCTCTCCAAGCCCTCCTGTCCCAGGCAGTCCCTTCTGTCCTATCAGCATGAGCGCTCTTGATCCTCCGTGCATGGTAAGTGTTAGCCAGCAAAGGGGGGAAAAAAACCCAAAAAACCAGGGCCTGACCTCATATCATCTTGAAATCATCTGGAATTCTTGGCTCCTGTGAAATCCAATCTGGCTGTGAATTCTTGGCATTTTTCATCAAATATAGCGCATCCGTCACTCGCTTTGATTCTGATTGAAATGCAATTTGTTTCACAGGTGCAGGAATAGCCTGATGGTGGGCAGTGACGGGATGAGAGCCACGATGTTAGTATTTGGGCTCCAAGGTCAGTGGAAAAAGCAAGGCCTCAGCTGAGTTTATGTCCACCTGGTCTCCTCTTCCTCCTCCCTTTTAATTCCTGTAGTGTTTCCCCCCAGAAAATCCCATTGTAGGACAAGGATTTTGCAGCTGTCTGTGTGCACTCTCCAAAAGGCAACAGGACTGCTAGCTAAGTCTCTTCTGGTGAGATTCTTGACCATCTTGGTTTTTATGATGGAGCATGAGCAATGTCTGAGAGAAGAGGGAAAGTGGCTGAGGAACCTCCATCCACACGTTGTCCTAGCCTTGATCCTTGAAGACGTCAGCCAGGTGTGATCATCGGACCTTCCCAAGCCCTTGATCCACACACTTCTACCAAGGAAGCTCAGGTATCACTTGAAAAATGTCCACTTTTAACCCCTTCCTGGGCTGTCCTGTCCAGCTCTGCCTTTGCGCCTCTGTTTTGCCTAGAGCCGAGCAAGGCATTTTTCACTAAACAAAAATGAATGAGGAGGAAAATACTTTTCAGAGCAAAGAGGTTTCCAGGAGGTTTCTTTTCTGGAGGGAAAGAAAGAGGGAGCCAGCAGCTTGGGGCTTAAACCTATGGGAAACAGAGGGGCAAGACAATGCTCTCTCTGATTCCAGGTGACCGGAGCTGTACTGCTCTTCCCAGTGGGGCAGGGGCTGGAACCTGGGCCCTCTCCCCCTGACCCCAGCAGCAAACCCACCAGGATATCTGCTTCCAACCCCACTATTTGTCTGAGCAGAAAAGTGCAGGTTTCAATTGGAAAATGGACCTTCAGCACCATGCCCCCTTGGGGAAAATGTTCCAACCTGGTGTCATCCCAAAGCAAGACAAGAACAACGCTGCATAAGCTTGAAAGATGCCGTGTTGCCCCTGGGCAGCTCTTCTTCTGCCAGGCTGCTCCCCAGGTCTCCAGTCCTGGGGCCTTGCTCTGGTGCTGACCCCCAGCTCTCTGTCCTAGGTAATGGTGTATATGCTCAGGGCCACTCTCAAGCAGCTCCCCCACCTCCTTTCTGGGATTTAGTGCTCTGTGAAAAGAGGTGAGTGAGCAAGTCATGTTATCAGGTGCTAGGCATAGCACAGAGGCAGAAAGACATGCAGGTTGCATCTACATGTGCAATTAATTCAGAGTATGAGACTGGATGGGTTATTTCCCAAATTTCTGGCTGGGTTATTTCTGAGCAGAAAATTCAGACTCATTAAAGTGCTCCCTGGTGCACATCTACATGTGTGCCCCTCTTGGGAGCAAACTGAGCCCGACAGGAGCAGCCCAGTTCAGCCCTGCTCTGCCCCCCTGCAGCAGCCAAGGGGAGCCCCACGCTGGCAGGGGGCACGGGGGCTTAGCCCTGAGTTCCTCCAGCGGGGAGCTGTCCTGGCTTGGCGGGCAGCTCTGTCCCAGTGGTGTGGGGGAGCTTGGGCTGATCACGGGGGAACCTGACTTGGACTTCCCACCTTTTCAGTGTTGCCGGGTCTCCTGATAATATGGCACTCCCCAGGATACTGGTGTTGCTCTTAAAACACCAACTCCTGGGGTTGTGCAACAACATGGACATCGAGGCTTTCATTTAAAAGAAAGCGAGTTCCTAGCTCACAGAGACAAGTGACATGACAGCCCCAAAAGGCTCAGCAACAAGAAAGTAAATGAAAAGAAGCCAATTATTTTATGATACCTTTTAAGCTAATCTCAGAAATGTTTGGCCTGGCTTGTTGGCTATTGAATGCTTGGAGTTGTCAGCACTGAGCATTGTGTAGTGTTTCCCTTCTGGGAAGAAGACAATTGTAGGAAGTTATGGGCTGGACTGCAATTTGTAGTCCCCAAGTATAAAATGTTCAGATGTGCCTACATGACTTCAGTGCCAGTCCAAAGTGACTTAGGCATGGAGGAAACAATGACTCATTTAGAGCCTGTGCGATGCTGGCTCCCAAATCTCTTTGGAAAGCAGGACTTAGGCTACAAAGTCCTTAGGCTTGTTTGAACTTGGCTCAGAAGAGGTCTCTGTAAGCCATGGGTGAGGGAGTGTTTGATCCAGAGAAGAGGTGCGTCTGTCCTTGCTGTGTGCCTGATCCAGAGAAGATGTGAGTTGTGATAGCCCCTGCTTTGGAGCAACACCCACTGCTCAAACCAGAACAGCTCCAGAGGCTGCTGTTCCTCCCTTGATGTGTGTCAAGAGGGTGGCCTTCTCCTCTCCTGTTCAGCGATGCTAAGATGTGATGCTCCTTACTGGTTCTAGCAGGACTTTCACTCTGAAATAGTAGATTTTCTCAAGGTGCATCAAACAAACCCTATCGACCGTGCCTCTTCAACCCAAGCTGCAGAGACTCATGCTTTCAGATCTCAGGAGTTGACCAGCATGGCATGGCAGCACGGTGGCCCTGCAGAGCCATGTGGGATGAAGAGACACTGTGGCTGCTGACACAGCTTTCCAATCCCCATCTCTCAGCTTTGCATCTTCTTTCTCCGAGAGCACAAGAAGAGATTTCTCTTTTGCCCTGGGACAGATGTTCCTATCCCGGGCGCATTACTGGATCCTTTCTGAGAGGGAGCTGCCTGCCACCAGACCCTTGTATTTACTGAATGTGTTTACAATTAAACAAAATGTCAAAGCGTCTGTGACCATAAGAATAGACTTGAGTCAGTCGCAGGGCAGCGAGGGGTTGGAGGTCAGAATGTTGTTTACTTTAATTTCTTTGAGAGCTTTTTGGGAGATTTTTTTTCCACCCCCCCTCGCTTTATTAAATTCAGATGAGCCGTTCGGGGAGGTTAGGTCGCATGTGGTTCAGGGTTTGGGGTTTTTTTTTTTTTAATCATTTTGCTTTTAACTCTTCCCAGGCTGGCCCCGTGGTGTTCGTTTGTCATGGGGGAGGGTTGGATGGAGCCCTCTGCCAGGACAGTGGCCAGCCTCCCGTTGGCTGGGCAAAGCTGGAGGTAGCATGAAGACCCAAGTGCCTGTTGCCTGGCCAAGGAAGGGTCCACTCTGGCCCAGTGGGTTGATGCTAATGCCCAGCACAACCCACTTAAGTAGGCCGTTCATCAGAGAGGACAGTGCTGATGAAGCAAGGAGGTGGCTGCTGTTGTCTAGAGCTGGGTAGAAGATGGGCAGGGGACATGCACGGCCAAGGCACCTCCACCCTGCCCCATACAACGCCTTGTTATTCCAACCCGGGGCTCGCCACGCAAGAGCTTTCTTCATTCCTGAGCTAAAGTCTCCCTCCCCGGCCTCTCTTCTTCATGGGTGGCTTGTCGCAGCCTTCCCGTCCAGGCTGGGCAGAACTTCTCTCCCCGTAGGGCACAGGGAGGACGTGTAGTTTAAGAAGATTGCTGTTCCTGGTGGGGCTGGCAGTGGGGTGTGTGGAGAAAGGGAGAACATAGGTCCTGTTGTGTGTGGTGGCTGGATCATGATCAATGGAGCTTGGCCTATGTACTCCCCACTAGGGTCCAGGTGCTGCCGCTTTGACCTGACTCCTCTCCAGTGAGGCTGGGTAAGGTCTTCAGAGCTTGGGAAGCAAGGGTATCATTTTCCCAGGGGAGAGCAATGAGGATGGGACCAACCCTCTGGACAGAGCAGGCACATTCAAGCAAGCAGGAGATGGCACATTGGGTCCTTGAAAGGATAAAGGCTTTGGTATTGTCTTCTGGGTGCATTGGGCAGTGGCTTGGGGTTAAAGGCAATGGAAGAGCCATGGACCACGATGCTAAGCCAAGCCGTGGGCTGGGACTACGGGGACCAGCAGAGGGGCATGGGGGAAGGGAGCCAGGTTCTGCATTAGGTGGAAATTCTGCATTGCTGAATAATCATAAACTTTGGAGGCAGCAGTGACCCTAGGACACCCCAGTTATGAGGAGCAGAGAAGAAACTGGTTCCCATGTCCACCCCAAGACTCAGCATTGTCCTTGGCCTCCTGCTCCCCAGCATGGCCATGGGCATGGGATAGTGAGGGTTGTGAGGTCAGCATGTCTCTGTAGGGGTAAAAAAAAAAGAGAAGAGAGAGAGAAAAAGAATGTGGAAATCTCCCAAATAAAAGTTTCATTTCCTTCAAGTGCCTGCAGATCCCAGTGCAGATGCGCCCGCGCCCGCGCCCTCCCCCCACCCTCCCCCCACCGCTGTATGCACAGCAGTGCTAGCTGGCTTCATTGGCTATGCACCAGCCTTTCCAGAAATGCCAAGGCCTCTTGCTTACTTACTTTTCCAGTCTCTCAAGCCTCCTCCTTTTGGTGCTTGCTGTTGCCTCTAGAAGGGAGCCATGTTCTGGCCACTGCAGGTGGGAGGGGGTGGCTTGCAGACCCCTAATTCCCTGCCCATCCTCACTCCCCTTTTTGGGTCTCTTGTGCTCTCTGAAATATCACGGGATGGGCCTGACCGGCACTGACTCACACCTTTCCTTTATAGACATGGGTCTTT